GGGGCGTGGATTAGCGACGGGTCTCGTTTCCATGGGAAATCGCGGATTTCCGCCGCCGAACGCGGCGGCATCGGCCGCATTTTGGGGAGGGCACCTCCCCTGATGCATGAATTTGGCGACCGCGCGCCAAATCCATGGATCGCTAATCCATGTTTGCGCGCCCCCGGCAAAGAGGATGTGGCAAGGGGGGGTACGAAGCGCAGGGAAGTCCCAGGCGAGATCCCCATTTGGAAGAGGAGCCGGCGCACCGCCCTCCATCCGTGTGACGGCCGCATTCGCTTTCAGCTCTTGGCCATAAAATCGGGCGATGCCCAAAGCGACAGCCCCATGTTTCGAAGAAGAGAGAACGCCATAAACATAAACTTTTGGCGCTCCGCGCGGATTTCTTGGGTCCGCGCTGGGCCCCCCTGGCGGCGCCTCCAGCGCCGCCCCTGGCGCGCTCCGCGCGCCAGGGAGGGGCCCAGCGCAGATCCAAGAAATCCGCGCGGAGCGCCAAATTTCTATGTTTATGCCGGTTGTTCTTCACATAATTCCCGGCGGAGCTGGGTGAAGTTCCGTGCCCGCCAGTGATTAACTGACTGACTGATTGACTGACTGATTGACTGACTGAACGTCAGGAGGGCACCTTGAACAACACATTTCAAACCGCCCGCGGGCGCGCAACCGCAACTGGGCGACACATTTCGACCCGTCCGCGGGCGCGCAACCGCAACCGCAATTGGGCGACCCATTTCAACCCGCCCGCGGGCGCGCAAGCGCAACCGCAACTACGCGACACATTTCAACCCGCCCGCGGACGCGCAACCGCAACTGGGCGACACATTTCAACCCGCCCGCGGGCGCGCAAGCGCAACCGCAACTGGGCGACACATTTCGACCCGCCCGCGGGCGCGCAACCGCAACCGCAACTGGGCGACACATTTCAATCCGCCCGCGGGCGCGCAACCGCAACCGCAACTGGGCGACACATTTCAACCCGCCCGCGGGCGCGCAACGCAACCGCACCGACACATTTCAACCCGCCCGCGGGCGCGCAACCGCAACTGGGCGACACATTTCAATCCGCCCGCGGGCGCGCAACCGCAACCGCAACTGGGCGACACATTTCGACCCGCCCGCGGGCGCGCAACAGCAACCGCAACTGGGCGACACATTTCAACCCGCCCGCGGGCGCGCAACCGCAACCGCACCTGGGCGACACATTTCGACCCGCCCGCGGGCTCGCAACCGCAACTGGGCGACACATTTCGACACGCCTGCGGGCGCGCAACCGCAACCGCAACTACGCGACACATTTCGACCCGACCGCGGGCGCGCGACCGCAACCGCAATTGGGCGACACATTTCAACCCGCCCGCGGGCGCGCAACAGCAACCGCAACGGGGCGACACATTTCAACCCGCCCGCGGGCGCGCAAGCGCAACCGCAACTGGGCGACACATCTCGACCCGCCCGCGGGCGCGCAACCGCAACCGCAACTGGGCGATCATTTCAACCGCCCGCGGGCGCGCAAAACCGCAATTACATACTATTTCGACCCGCCCGCAGGCGCGCAACCGCAGCCAAACTGGGCAACACATTTCAACCCGCCCGCGGGCGCGCAACCGCAACCGCAATTTGGCGACACATTTGAACCCGCCCGCGGGCGCGCAACCGCAACTGGGCGGCACATTTCAACCCGCCCGCGGGCGCGCAACCGCAATCCCAACTGGGCGACACATTTCAACCCGCCCGCGGGCGCGCAACTGCAACCGCACCGCTTACCTGCCGTCCTCCTCCAGGAGATCTGATGCGGAGGAAGGGTGGGAGGGAGGGGGGAGGGAGGAGGGAGGCGGGAGGGAGGAGGAAGTAGGGGGGGAGAGGAGACGGAGGGAGGGTAGAGAGCTCACAATGGTTGGGGGCGGACAATTTCTGCCCCCCCCCGTTCCACGCAAGTGGATCTCCACAAGGCCCCAGACCCTGGATTCCTTACCCAAGGCCTCCACGGTCTGCTGGCGGGATGGGTGGGTTAACCGCCCCCGAGGGGGGAGACGAGGCTTTGACAGAAGCGATCCGTTGCACCGCCTAGTTTGAAGCTGGGGGGCGATACCGCGGGGATCGGTTGCGCGTACACCCGTGCGCAAGCTGCCCGCGGATGTAGGTGCATCAGCACTGTCTTATTCATGCAGCCTGCCGCGTCTCATCCATGATCTGGTGCAGGAGCTGGTGGGGGAGGAGGGGGAGGAGGACGAGGAGGGGGTAAGGGAGGAGTTTGATGAGGAGGAGGAGCAGCAGGACGAGGAGGAAGATGATGAGGAGGAGGAGGAGCAGCAGGACGAGGAGGAGGAGGACCAGGATGGCCAGGAGGAGGAGGACGATGGGGAGGGGGATGCCAGGGTGGCGTTGCTTGAGCAGGTGCACGAGCAGGTGCTTGTTGCGGAGGACTGAGGAGGATGTGGTGGTGGAGTTCAAGGAGGATGGAGGTGGACGTCCTCCTCGCGGCCTCTGGGCGTGACCCGCGGTTTTCCGCCGAGACACTGCAGCGGGGAATCCCCGTTCCACGCTGTTGCCTCTGACGTTCGCCTTCCGCCCGAGTAATTGTTGCACAACTTCATCAGCATCGCAATGAGTGCAGAAGACGTCTCAGGCGAGAGAGGCCCGTTTTGAAAAGAACTTGCCCTCCATCCTTATAAGCGTTCGATTTGTTTGAGACGAATACGCGCGGCGCCAAGGCGAGAGTTCCAGATTGAAGTCCTATCGCCCTCCATCCATGTAGGTGCTGGAAGCGTCAAACTGAAATATCGCAAGTGGTGGGGAAGGCTTAGGCGACAAGCCTAGCCCTCCCTAGCGACTCGTCTGGTGGTGCGACAGGGAGGAGTTGTTCATCAGGGTGCGGAATGGAGGAGGGAGCGAGGAGGAGGAACAGGAGGAGGAGGGGGAGGGGAAGTGGGGGGAGAAGGAGGAGGAGGAGGACGAGGACGAGGACGAGGAGGAGGAGTCCAGGAGGAAGAGGAGAAGGAGCAGGAGGAGGAGGAGGAGAAGAGGAGGAGGAGTCCAGGAGGAGGAGGAGGAGGAGTCCAGGAGGAGGAGGAGGAGGAGGCGGAGAAGCATTGCCCTGTGTTCACGGCAGTTTCGCGCCGCCGCGGCACGGCGGCAGCGGGGGGGCGCGGGCTCAACGACGGATCGGAGGCCTCCAGGCAGCCTCGACGGCGGAGGCCTTCGAGAGAGGCCCGAGAAGCCCGCGCGGTGACATGGTTCGGATTACGATGTTCCAACTTATTTTAGCCTTGGCCACCGGAAAGAACTTCGAGCACCAAGAAAGTACCGAAACGGGAGTGTTTTCACGTGTCGGGCCTTGGGGGGTGATACTCGTTCGATACTGCTTCGATACTCCTCTGGGCGCTCGAAATCATGTCTGGGAAGTGGTCCGTAAGTACGATGGGAACAACAGAAGGCTCAGAGCCCGCCGCGCAGCGATTCGCAGCAGCCTCGATGCATCGGCGCTGGCCCTGAGAGCTGGACGTTGCAGTTCGGCGGCGGGCGAGGGGTGTTCGAGGTTTCGAGTTTCGAGGTTTTCGGGCGCTTTCGCCGGTTCTGGGCGGTTTTCTAGCCTCGGGATGCTTTCCAGCAGCTGCGGCTCACCGAGGGCGTTCCATCGAAAAAGAAAAAAAAAAAACCATAAGCATAAACTCGTGGCGCTCCGCGCGGATTTCTTGGATCCGCGCTGGCCCCGTCGGCGGCGCCTCCAGCGCTGCCCCTGGCGCGCTCCGCGCGCCAGGGAGAAGGGTCCGGCGCGGATCCAGGAAATCTAGGCGGAGCGCCAAAAGTGTATGTTTATAGCGTTTTTTCTTCTTCTATTCCAGGCGGGCCCGGATCGTCCCGAAAAGCCGCCGGTGACCCGAGTTAGGACCCAGAAGCCGAGCACGGTGGCGCGCCCGAGGGGAAAGTGGCAAGGAGAAGGCCTTCTCAGAAGGCGGCGGGACTTCGCAGAGGCCCTCGCGCCTTCTGAGAAGCTTCCTGCGTCTTCGGGGAAGGCTTAGAGAACTTCTCAGAAGGCCGGGGAGCTTCCGAGCCTTCTGAGAAGGCCTTCTTCCTCACTTGAACGAAGGATTGCAAAAACAAAAAACAAAAAGATTGCAACAACAAAAAAAAAAGATTGCAATCCTCATTTCCCCCCCTCGCTCGCCGCCAGATCTGGGCGCTGCAAGTTTGTCTCGCCGGGCGTGGGCGCCCAGTGTCGCCGACGGTTCTGGCCCACCGCGCTTCGGCGCGACGCGCTATCCACGTCCTCCTCCTCCTCCTCCTCCTCCTCCTCCTCCCCTCCTCCTCCTCCTCCTCCTCATCCCTCCTCCCTCCGCCCTCCTCCTCCTCCTCCTCCTCCTCCTCCTCCCTCCGCCCTCCTCCTCCTCCTCCTCCTCCTCCTCTCCTCCTCCTCCTCATTCCTCCTCCCTCCGCCCTCCGCCTTCCTCCTCCTCCTCCTCCTCCTCCTCCTCCTCCTCCTCCTCCTCCTCCTCCTCCTCCTCCAGGCCTCCGAGCGTCAACATCCCGAGTTTCTCCGAGCATCCCGCCCCAAGGAGCGGAGCGACACGCCATCCGCTTGCAAGGCACAGCGTGTCGCTGGGGCCGCCGCCGCGACACGCTAGGCAAAAGTTCCTGACCCTAGGTGCCCTCCAGGGCAACCGGAACCTGACCGCCACCATACTCAAGCGTGACCTGGCCGTCCCCATTGCACATTTGTGCATCAAGCGTGGACACAAGCCTGGCTTGGCCAGGTGTTCTGGTGTCGGTGTACAGCTTCCTGTTCTTGAAGGAGGGAGGGGTGCACAGATCGTGGCAAGCCTGTGTCGCTGCCAGCAGGCATTCCCTTGCTTCCGTCCGTGATCCCATCTTCCTCCTCGACCGCCTCTTCATGCTCTGTCCACCCCCTCCCAGCTGGCGTGGAGGGAAAAGGGCTGGGATGTCCAAGTGGCTGGCTGGCCCTCATGGGCAAAAGCAACCAAAAGAATATCCAGAGGTTCTGCAGCCATTCTGGTCTAGGCACATGGGCCAAGTAGTGCGCGGCTCGTGCTTGCCGCCTGGGCACCACTCTGACAGCAGATGCCCGTGCTCGTGGAGATGTTTCAAGATGGCGAGGCTGCCTTCGCCGACCCGGTCAAGGGCAAGACGGCACGCCCCAGCTCCCCCGGAGAAAGCTCGTTCCCTACGCGGTGCCCGTCGTCGGAGCTATTGACCTTCGATCGGTGCGATGGCGACCACGACCGCGACACCGCCGTGCCGCAGAAGGGCGGCGACGAGCCAGAGCCCCTCGAGCAGGCGTTCCTCGAGCCAGTCAAGTACCCCCCCAGGAGGTGGGCCGCGATGGCAGCGCAGAAGGAGGCCCCCCCCCGGCGCCTCCGGTCCGAAGCGTATTGGGAGCAGCAGACCACGCTCGGCCAGCGGACGAGGTTCGAAGAAGGCAAATGCCATAAACATAAACTTGTGGCGCTCCGCGCAGATTTCTTGGATCCGCGCTGGGGCCCCGCGCCTCCGGCGCCGCCCCTGGCGCGCTCCGCGCGCCAGGGAGGGGGGTCCAGCGCAGATCCAAGAAATCCGCGCGGAGCGCCAAAAGTGCATGTTGATAGCGTTTTTTCTTCTAGAGGTGCACGCCTTGGGGGACGGGCGTCAGGCAGCGCAGCGCTTCCTTCGAGGAGGACTTCCCCGGAACGGCGGCGGTCGCGGTGCCCGCGCTGGAAGATGCCGAGGGCGACGACGAGGACGCCGCGGAGGCAGTGCGGCCTTCGATTCGATCCGTTTCGGCGAATCGAATCGCCGCGTTTGCCGATTCGATGTGGGAAGCTCCCCGCCACGATTCGATTACGATTGCGATTTGGGCTCCACAGCGATTCGATTCCGATCTGGTGCAAAGTGGGCGACGCTCCGGTGCGATTTCCGATGTGGCTCGGCATTGGCAGCGGGAGGAGGAGGAGGAGGAGGAGGAGGAGGAGGAGAAGGAGCGCTCGAGCGGCGAGGCGGAAGCGAGGTGGCAGTTTGGAAAGCGAGGGGGAGCCTTCCCCTGGAGCACCCCAGCGGGGGTGCCCCCATGAAGAGGTCAGGGGGCGTTCCCTCCGCCCCTCATCGTCCTCCCTCCCTCCGCGTCGCCCTCCCTCCTCGTCCTTGTCGTCCTCCCTCCGTCCTCGCACAGGGGAGGGGCACCAGTAAGGAGGCACTGGGGCGGGCACAGGTGTGGGGCACCGGGCAGGGGGGCCCCGTGTGTGTGTGTGTGTGTGTTTGTGTTTGTGTGTTGGTGTGTGTTGGTGTGTGTTGGTGTGTGTTGGTATGTGTATGTGTGTGTTGTGTGTGTTGTGTGTGTTGTGTGTGCTGTGTGTGTTGTGTGTTGTGTGTGTGTTGTGTGTGTGTTGTGTGTTGTGTGTGTTGTGTGTGTGTTGTGTGTGTGCTGTTTGTGTTGTGTCTGTTGTGTGTGTTGTGTGTGTTGTCTGTTGTGTGCGTGTGTGTGCTGTGTGTGTTGTGTGTGTGTCTTGTGTGTGTGCGTGTGCTGTGTGTGTGCTGTGTGTGTTGTGTGTGTTGTGTGTGTCGTGTGTGTTGTGTGTGTTGCGTGTGAAATGTGTGTTGTGTGTGTTGTGTGTTCTGTGTTCTGTGTTCTGTGTCGTGTGTGTTGTGTGTGCTGTGTGTGCTGTGTGTGTGTGTTGTGTGTTGTGTGTTGTGTGTGTTGGGTGTGTTGTGTGTTGTGTGTGTGCTGTGTGTGTGCTCTGTTTGTGTTGTGTGTGCTCGTGTGTGTGCTGTGTGTGTTGTGTGTGTTGTGTGTGTTGTGTGTTGTGTGTGTTGTGTATTGTGTGTTATGTGTGTTGTGTGTGCGTTGTGTGCGTGCTGTGTGTGTGTTGTGTGTGTGCGTTGTGTGTTGTGTGTGTGCTGTCTGTGCTGTGTGTGCGCGTTGTGTGTGTGCTGTGTGTGCTGTGTGTGTTGTGTGTTGTGTGTGCTGTGTGTTGCGTGTGCTGTATGTGCTGTGTGTGTTGTGTGTGTGTGTTTGTGTGCTGTGTGTGTTTGTGTGTTGTGTGTGTTGTGTGTTGAGTGTTTGTGTGTGTTGTGTGTGTCGCGTGTGTTGTGTGTGTTGTGTGTTGTGTGTGCTGTGTGTGTTGTGTGTGTTGTGTGTTGTGTGTTGTGTGTGTGCTGTGTGTGTGCTGTGTGTGTGTTGTGTGTGCTGTGTGTGTTGTGTGTGTTGTGCGTGTGCTGTGTGTGATGTGTGTGTTTTTGTGTGTGTTGTGTGTGTTTTTGTGTGTTGTGTGTGTTGTGTGTTGTGTGTGCTGTGTGTGCTGTGTGTTGTGTGTTGTGTGTGTTGTGTGTGCTGTGTGCTGTGTGTGCTGTGTGTGTTGTGTGTTGTGTGTTGTGTGCTGTGTGTTGTGTATGTTGTGTGTGTGTGTGTTTGTGTGTGTGCTGTGTGTGCGCTGTAGGTGTGTTGTGTGTGCTGTGTGTGTTGTGTGTTGTGTGTGCTGTGTGTGTTGTGTGTGTTTGTGTTTTGTGTGTTGTGTGTTGTGTGTGTGTTTTGTGTTGTGTGTTGTGTGTTGTGTTGTGTGTGCTGTGTGTGCTGTGTGTGTTGTGTGTGTTGTGTGTGTTGTGTGTATGTTGTGTGTGCTGCGTGTGTGCTGTGTATGTGTTGTGTGTTGTGTGTGTTGTGTGTTGTGTGTATTGTGTGTGTCGTGTCTTGTGTGTAATGTGTGTTGTGTGTTGTGTGTGTTCTGTGTGTTCTGTGTGTTGTGTGTGTTGTATGTGTGCTGTGTGTGTACTGTGTGTGTTGTGTGTGCTGTGTGTGCTGTGTATGTTGTGTGTGTTGTGTGTGTGCGTTGTGTGTGTGCTGTGTGTGGGTTGTGTGTGTGTTCGTGTTTGTGTTTGTGTTTGTGTGTGTTTGTAGGTTTGGGTGTTTGTGTGTGTGTTTGCGTGTTTGTGTGTTTGCGTGTTTGTGTTTGGTTTTGTGTTTGTGTTCGTGTGTGTGTTTGTGTGTGTTTGTGTGTGATGTGTGTGTGTTTGTGTGTGTGTTTGTGTTTTTGTGTGTTTGCGTGGTTGTGTGTTTGTCTGTGTGTGTTTGTGTGTGTTTGTGTGTGGTTGTGTGTTTGTGTGTGTGTTTGTGTTGGTGTTGGTGTTTGTGTGTTCGTGTGTGTTGTGTGTGTGTTTGTGTGTGTGCGTGTGTGTGTGCGTGTGTGCGTGTTGTGTGTGTGTGTTGTGTGTGTTGTGTGTGTTGTGTGTGCTGTGTGTGTTGTGTGTGTTGTGTGTTGTGTGTGTTGTGTGTGCGTGTGTGTGTGTGTGTTGTGTGTGTTGTGTGTGTTGTTTGTGTTGTCTGTGTGGTTGTGTGTGCTTGTGTGTTGTGTGTGTGATGTGTGTGTGGTTGTTTTGCGGGTGTTTGTGTTTGTGTGTGTTTGTGTGGTTACTTGGCTCCAACAAAAGTTTCCTTGGAAACTCGCAAGAGGAATAATATGTATCTAAACCCGTCGGCATGATGAAAAGTCGCGCGCGCGTGCTCAGCGTTCGCACGCACGGGATCCCAAGACGTCCCATGGCCACGACATGCTTCCAGGAATGCCTCAGGCCACGGACGATACCGTCCAGAGGACCCAGGATGATGCCACCCCAACGCGATCCCGCCATGGATTCTGGACCGTCTCAGGCCGACTCGCAGATGACGAAACACATGATCGACGCGTGACGCCGAGATGGCCCGATGGCAACATTCCTGATCCAAGCGCACCCAGGGTGGCCTCATAATGACCACGCGATGGTTGCGTGATCCAAACATGACCGGGATAGGATCTCAAGATGACCTCGAGACGATCCCAACACGGCAATAATACTGATTTCGAGCCGATCCCAGCATGGTGGGATCCGTGAACGGCCCGGGATTTTGGTCTACCCCATTTTTAATGGGTGGGATTTTGATCGTCCTGAACTAAACTTATAATATTAAAGCGGAATAAGCCAGGCGGGATCCCGCCCGGCCCACGGAGGAAGACAACATTTGCTAGGCCTCTACGGGGGTACGGGGTTCGGAAAGGGCGTCGTTTACTTCCGCTGACATTGGCAAGCCTTCCGGCGGCCTTCCCCCGTCTTCCGCCTCGTTTTACTTCCGCCGACTTCCGCCAGCCAGCGTCGTGATGAAAATTCCAGGAACTTTCATTGGGCCGATGTATGTGTGTTTGTGTATTTGTATGTTTGTGTGCTTGTGTGTGTGCGTGTGTGCGTGTGTGCGTGTGTGCGCGTGTGCGCCGCGTGTGCGCCGCATGTGCGCGTCGAGTGCGCCGCGTGTGCGCCGCGTGTGCGCCGCGTGTGCGCCGCGTGTGCGCGTCGTGTACGCGTCGCGTGCGCGTCGCGTGCGCGTCGTGTGCGCGTCGTGTGCGCGTCGTGTGCGCGTCGTGTGCGCGTCGTGTGCGCGTCGTGTGCGCGTCGTGTGCGCGTCGTGTGCGCGTCGTGTGCGCGTCGTGTGCGCGTCGTGTGCGCGTCGTGTGCGCGTCGTGTGCGCGTGGTGTGCGCGTCGTGCGCGCGTCGTGAGCGCGTCGTGCACGCGTCGTGCGCGCGCCGTGCGCACTTAGTTCGCGCGCGGTGTGCGGGCGGGGTGCGCGTGGGGTGCGCGTGGGGTGCGCGCGGGGTGCGCGTGGGGTGCGCGTGGGGTGCGCGTGGGGTGCGCGTGGGGTGCGCGTGGGGAGCGCGTGGGGTGCGCGTGGGGTGCGCGTGGGGTGCGCGTGGGGTGCGCGTGGGGTGCGCGTGGGGTGCGCGTGGGGTGCGCGTGGGGTGCGCGTGGGGTGCGCGTGTGGTGCGCGTGTGGTGCGCGTGTGGTGCGCGTGTGGTGCGCGTGTGGTGCGCGTGTGGTGCGCGCGGAGTGCGCGTGCAGTGCGCGTGGGGTGCGCGTGTGGTGCGCGTGGGGTGCGCGTGTGGTGCGCGTGTGGTGCGCGTGTGGTGCGCGTGTTTGCGCGTTTGCGTGTGTGCGTGTGTGCGCATGTGTGCGTGTGTGCGTGTGTGTGTGTGCGCGTGTGTGTGTGTGTGAGCGGGTGTGCGGGTGTGTGCGTGTGTGCGCATGTGTGCGCGTGTGTGCGCGTGTGTGCGCGTGCGTGTGCGTGCGGGTGCGAGCGTGTGCGTGCTTGTGCGTGCGTGTGCGTGCGTGTGCGTGCGCGTGTGTGCGCGTGCGTGCGTGCGTGCGCGTGCGTGCGTGTGTGTGCGCGTGCGTGCGTGTGCGTGCGTGCATGCGCGTGCGTGCGTGTGCTTGCGTGCGCGTGCGCGCGCGTGCGTGCGCGTGCGTGTGCGTGCGTGTGCGTGCGTGGTGGGTGCGTGCGTGTGCGTGCGGGTACGTCCGGGTACGTTCGGGTACTTGCGAGTGCGTGCGTGTGCGTGCGTGTGCGTGCGTGAGCGTGCGTGTGCGTGCGTGTGCGTGCGCGTGCGTGCGCGTGCGTGCGTGCGCGCGCGTGCGCGTGCGTGCGCGTGCGTGCGCGTGCGTGCGCGTGCGTGCGCGTGCGTGCGCCTGCGTGTGCGTGCGTGCGCGTGCGTGCGCGTGCGTGTGCGTGCGTGCGCGTGCGTGCGCGTGCGTGCGTGTGCGTGCGCGTGCGTGCGCGTTCGCGTGCGGGTGTGCGGGTGTGCGGTTGTGCGGGTGTGCGCGTGCGCGTGTGCGTGTGCGTGTGCGTGTGCGTGTGCGTGTGCGTGTGCGTGTGTGTGTGGCGTGCGTGCGTGCGTGCGTGCGTGCGTGCGTTCGTGCGCGTGTGTGTGTGTGTGTTTGTGTGTGTCTGTGTGTGTG